GGCTGACATGCGATTCTTGTCCTGCCTTGCGTCTGGGCAAAGCAGACACCCTACTGGAAACAAAAAGAAAAACACAGTGAACGCAAGTCAGGGGAACTGGATTTTAGTCTGTGCTCTGCATTTAATCAGTGGTGTTGCCTCTGGCCCAGTCATTTTTGACCTCTTTGAGTTGTAAGTTTTTTTGGTGCATAACACAAGGGTATAAAAACTAGGATGACCATTTAAGTCTTTTGAAACTCTTTCTATGAGTTTAAAATCTTAAGATAAAATGTACCCCCATTCTATCCCCAGAAGTAACATTTTCACACACCAGCATCCTTCTTCAGTACACCAGTGCTTCCAAGGCTAGTTCAACAGCACCTTTTTTATGAGGATGCCCTTGATTCTGTAAACAACAGAATCTATGCTGGCTAGATCAAGCAGACAAGAATATTAGGTTCAAGTAGACAAGTATATCAGATTACAATTTCCTGGAGGGCTAGAGCCAGACTAGGAAGTTCCTCCGCCATGACTGATGCCAATCCACAGAAAAAGAGGGGCTTGGCGGAAGTGAAGAGGAGAGAGAAAGGGGTGCTGAGGACTTCTTTAGGCCAAGAACCTCCTCCTGCTGCTGCTGGGTACTTGGGATGTGGAGATTGTCGCCTTAGGACACTGGAACCTGCACCCTGCCACTGCCTTGGCCCATGTGCTCGTGTCGTGTCCTTCCAAATCCACGTCCCCATGGGAACTTCTAATAGACAGAAACTAGGTGATGTGCCTGCACCCAGCTGCAGAGGAGGCTGAAAACATGAGTTCTCTGTGAGGAGAAAACGGACTAAGAGTGAGCAGGGGTAAGAGGGGGCATTGATCAGCCACAGTTGAAGACTGTCCTGCACAGCAGCAGATAAAATGTTGCCCCTGAGCTCATCTTCCAGACTGGAGTTTATTTTTGAAAAGTGTTGGTATTAAGTAAACAGTAATAAAAATGGAAATCTTTCACAGACACGTTATATAAATCATTGCCTTTTAAAAGAGAAGATGGAGAAAGAGAGTTTAAACTTTTTTGATGACAAGATTGTTAATATAAACATCTAATATAATGAGCATATTATATGGTATGGGGAAATTGATCATTATCTGAATCCTTGAAGTTACTAGTAATAAAAAAACTGATCACTAATAAAACTGATCTCATTTAGTGGACCTTCTTTTATTTCTAACTATTGTGGGAGTTCTTATATATCCTGAAATCAGAATCTAACTAGGTTTAATTTCTAGCAGAGGAACCTTGGATGATTCGATAATATTAATATTTCTGATGATTATATAAGATAACGAATGTTCACAAAGCCTGATGCATTATAAGTACTTGTAAATCTCACTGAATGGTCTTGTTCTGCTTTCTTTTCCCTGACTTTTCTCTTGTAAATCTGCTTAATGTTACTTTTTTCTAATTACACCTGCCTCTCACTGTGTTAGATAGAATTTTTCTACTTTGCTGCTGCTACACTGCCATGAGATTTCTTTGTTAAGAACATTAGGTTAATAGCTCTTTAGCTTATTGATTACTCAGTTTCAGGGTCCTCATCAGTCCTGTGTGTCTATTGCCATTAAGGACCACCCCCACAGCCCTGCCTAATCTGTCCTCATTGTTCTTGACTTCTTGATTTCAAACATTTAGTTTCTCATTGCTTCTGTTTGGTGTTTCTGGAAAGACTATTTCTGTCTTGCAGTGCTTTGGAGGTAGATTCTAATGTTTAATTAAACATCTGGTTGGGCAAAGGTTACAAAGAGAAGAATAACAACAAAGGGAATTTTTCTCTCCTCACCAGCATGTAAGGTGGGATTTGGAGCCAGAGAAATCTTTGAGTCCTAGCCAATTCATCTATTACTCGAGTGTCTTTAAGCAAGATGGTTAACTTTTCTGAAAGATGTTTCTGATATGTGAAATGGGAGTCTATTTGCCCACTTGCAGGGTTGCCATGTGGACTGAGATGCACCACTTTCCCCACCAGTGTCTAGCGTGCAGTAGGTGTGCCATGAATGCAGACTGTCCTATTCGTTGCAGTGGAGGGGAAGATGGCGGATAGCGGTGGACTCCTGAGAAGCAGATGCTGACTAGAGAGAAGTGAGAAAAGATGCCCCAGAGAAAATACTGTCCACTCCTGCTCAAGGTCAGCTCTGTCAGCCTGCCAGGAAGCAGAGACCTTTAATTTCATGGTGTCATTTTCTCTTCCTAAAAGTACAGTTTGACATATATTTGCTTTTCAAATTGAAGTGAACTAAAATTAATCTCATTATGGGAATCTGATAGTCCTTAAGGTACTTGAAGACTCCTGAGTGTCACAAAACTAGGATCAAAAACCCTGGCAAAATGCCAGTGGGAAAAGCAAGGGCAGCTAAGTGGACACCTGCAGGGCTGGGGGTGAGAGGGCAGGGGACGCTGATGTATAATTTGACTCCTCCTTTTGACATTTTGTCAAAATACTGTGGCTCAAATAGACATTTGAAACCTGATTAGGTTTTGAGAAATTAAAGACCTGACTTGTTTCTTAGCCGACAGTTTACATTTTAAAAAGCCATTTAAATATTATTTAAATTTTATTTAAATATTCCATAGAGGGTTGTTATTAAGCATTAATTTGAGCAATCATGGGTTCTGTAGCTGTTCCTGGAGCTTGATGTGCACCTAAGCCACATTAGAGGACAAGAGATGTGCAGAAAGTCTAGCCTGCAGTTGTGTTCTCCAGACAGAAAAGTTTGTGCTTTTACATAAGAGCAGAAGTTGAGCAGTAGCCCCTGAGAAGGCTGGTTAATCATGAACATTCTTATGTTTTCCTTTGAGTTCTTCCAGTCCTACTGTGGTGGTTTCCCCTGGTCTGACTCTCCACCTTCCTTCTTTGCTCCTTGATTCTCAATTGATGGTCTGTCCTCTGCTCTGACATCCTGAGTCTCTCTGTACCTTAAATCTGTGAGAGTTCTGGAGCTTTCTGGAGAGAAAGACCTTAAGGTTGCCTCTTGCCACATACTTTACTGTTTGTAATAAAGTTTTGCCTTTAAATATCCATTATTTTTTTGGATTTTTAAGCCTCTGCCTTAAATTTTGTCATTTCAGTTTTCTTGATTTTGAGAGCCGTTGTACCATCTTGACTCCATGTGTAGCTCTCTCTAAAGACCTAGGTCCTTCTTCTCTATGTTGAACCTGAAAGTTCCCTGTGAGTCTTGCCTGTCTTGCTCATGATATCTAGTGCTACACGTTTTCCTCAGATGTTATTTACTCTTAAGAAACAGTATGATTCACTGCATTTTCTATACCTTCTTCTATCTGAAAGCAGAATAGCATAATCATTAAGAGCACGTTATTCCTGGGCTAAGATTACATAGGTTTTCTCACCTTTTATTAGTATGTATGGGTCTTTGACAAGTCACTTTAAACCTTCATTTCCTCATCTGTAAAATTAATGTATTAACAATTCCCACCATAGAAATTGGGATTTTTAAATGAAGGTAATCCATACAAAGTACTTTTAATCAAGGTAGAACTTAATTTGGCCAGAGTATTTGGATAATGAGGCAGAAAAATCAGTAAATAATTATGTGCACTGTTTTTTTCCTATTTGGGAATTTGCCTCCTTAATAGTAATTTCTCAGAGAGTGCTCTATAAATACCAGGACTACAGAGAGTGCTTTGGAGTCAAGATTTGCACCCATATCTGTCTGACATCACAGATTCTTAACCTCTTTTCTAATTACCTATGCATAGGGTAGATGCATAGATTGAGATTTGGAAATGGACATACCAATGAATATCTACTGTACTCTTGGTTTCTCTGGCAGATTCTCTGTGCCCTGCCACTGTCTCCTAGAACTCTGTAATTATAATGGTGCCAGCAAACTCTTAGAGAGCTTTCTTTGGTCTGAGACTGTTCTGCCTGTCTAGGATAAGTTGGAAGTGCTGAGGAATTAATAAGCTACTAACCACCCCTGGGAGTTCCCAATCAATGGGAGGTTGCTGTATAAATACCCTAGCTCTCTTGTTCCTTGCGTGGTGGGATGCCTTTGAAGCACATGATACTCAAAAGCTCTCAGAATTCTTCAGTGGAATTAAACTGAAGTTATCCATCTTGATAAGTGAATCTATAACACATACTTTCCTTACTGTGTTCCCTTTCCTATCTCACTATCCCACCTCCCTGTTGGTCATTCTTGGAAAAATGTTCCAAATAAACTACTTGCACTCAAATCCTGTTTTGAGTGAAGCCGAACTAAAAGATTGATGCTATGAGAATAATATGACTTATTGTGAAAAGATCACAGTGTTAGGTCCTGGCACATGGTATATATTTTGTTCTTTCATTCATTTATTCATTTTTTTAAGTAAGTGGGTCAGTGTATTACTTCAGATGTCCCCAAGATCTCTCAAATGACAGCCCTCCAGGTTTACTGAGAGAAGCAGAACCCAGAGAGCTCCAACTGCCTATGAGGGTGAAGCTTTCTGGTAGTCTCACTGGCTCTGGCCACCCACTGCCTCAGGCTGAGGAAGTGCAAAGGTTTTTATAAAAAGGTATTTTTTATAAACATCTTTCTTCTCAGCATTTACTGGCTCTTTCTCTACATCTTCATGTGAGTGACCTCATGAAATGGTCTTGAGTAAGAAAGATTTTGTTCCTCAGAGGACATTTTGCAATGTCTGGAGATATTTTTGATTATTACAACAGGGAGCGTATACTACTGGCATCTAGTGAACAGAAGCCAGGAATGCTGCTGTCTTAGTCTGTTTGGGCTGCTATAACAAACTACCGTATGTGAAACAGGTCTGCTAATTATTAATACTAATCCCAAAGAAGACTCTCACTGCATAGAGAATAGCTAACCACCAGAAACAGGAGTCCATATACTTATCCCACTGCATCTGGGATAGTGTCTAGGTCCACCACACATGGGTTAACTGTTTATCTGAGTCTAGTGAGACAGAACACACTCACACAAAACAAGCTATATGAAGCAGGTTTCTTACTTACAGAAAAGCAGCAAAGGATAGAAGAAGTCTTGGATGCATTGTGAGCTTATCACCCAAGGCTCAGGAAAGCTGCCCCAGGCTTATGGAGTCTTGACTATTCATGCCCCACTTTGCACCACAGCCGAGGGACCACAAAAGGCAGCTTTTCCTGGGTTCCTGGATTCTTCAGGGCCCATGTGACTCACTGGATGAAAATTTGTAGGATATCCTGCTTCTAGGGAAGAGAGGAACAAAGCTAGGTCTGTCTCTCATGGTTCCTCCTTAGCTCAAGATGTTTCATATCCTAAGAGGGACAGGAACAAGTCCTAGGCTATTTCAGACAGTTCTTTCTTATCTCAGAATGTTACATTTTCAGCACATTCTACAGTTATTCTTGAGAACTACAAGAAAGGAATGGAGGAGGGATGACTTGATCCAAGGCCATTTGAAGAACTGTCCTTCATCATAGACTTGGTAGCTTATAAACATAAATTTATTTCTTATATTTCTGGAGACTGGGAAGTTCAAGATCTAAGAACCTGCAGATTTAGAAGCTGATGAGGGCCCATTTCCTCATAGATGGTCTTCTTCTCACTGTAACCTCACTTGGAAGTAGGGTGAGAGATCTCTCTTAGGTCTCATTTATAAAGGGACTAATCCCATTCATAAGGGCTCTGTCCTGAGGACCTAATTGCCTCCCAAAGGTCCCACCTCATAATACCATCATGTTGGTGGTTAAGATTTAAACATAAGAATTTTGGGGGGACATAAACATTCAATCCATTGCAATTGCTAAGTCCTGAAATACACGAGACAGCCCCTCTTAAAAATTATTCAGCTCCCAAATGTCAATAGTGTTGATGTTAAGAAACCCTGAATAGGGAATAAGGATACATCAACTTGAACTTCTTGAAGAAGGGTAGTAAGCAATTTATGTTTGATATAAGCTATAGCGCATCACATGAGAGAATAATAATTTTTGATAAAGCAGTTCATTCTATTGCAGTTGTCCCATCAAACTTCCTACAGTGATGGCAGACTTTACCTGCACTGTCCAATACAATAGTCATTAGACCGGTTACTAGTGAGCATTTAAAATGTGGTAGTTCTTTTTGCTTAAGATTGCTTTTGCTATACAGGGTCTTCTCTGGTTCCAAAGCACAGAATTATTTTCTCTAGATCTGTGAAAAATGATGCTAGTGTTTTAATAGGGATTGTGCTGCATCTGTAGATCACTTTGGGTAGTATAGACATTTTAACAATGTTGATTCTGCCAACCCATGAACATGGTATGGCTTTCCACCTGTTTATGTCATCTGCTATTTCCTTCCTCAGTGTTTAATAATTCTCCCTGTAGAGGTCATTCACCTCTGTAGTTAAACATATTCATAGGTATTTTATTTTCTTTGTTGCTATTGTGAAGGGTATTGAGTCTTTGATTTGGTTCTCAGTTTGACAGTTGTTGGTGTATAGGAATGCTACTGATTCCTGTACATTGATTTTGTAACCTGAGAATTTGCTAAATTTTTAAATCAATTTTAGTAGTTTCATGGCAGAATCTTTGGGATTTTCTAGATATAACATTTTATCATCAGCAAAGAGTGATACTTTTATCTCTTCTGTCCCCATTTGTATGCCCTGGATTTCTTTCTGTGGTATGAGTGCTCTGGCTAGGACTTCCAGCACTATGTTAAATAGAAGTGGTAATAGTGGGCAACCTTATCTCATTCCAGTTCTAAGAAGGAATGCTTTCAATTTTTCCTTGTTCAGTATGATTTTGGCTGTGGGTTTGCCATTTATGGCTTTTATCATTTTTAGGTATCAATTTACCAGACTTCAAACTATACTACAAAGCTATAGTAACTAAAACAGCATGGTATAGGCACAAGAATAGAGACATAAACCAATGGAGCAGAACTGAGAACCCAGATATAAAACCATCCTCATATAGCCATCTAATCTTTGAGAAAGCAGCAGAAAAACATACAATGGGGCAAATAATCCCTACTCAATAAATGATGCTGGAAAAATTAGATAGCCACTATAGAAGACAGAAACAGGATCTGCACATTTCACCACTCACAAAAATTAATTCATAGTGGATAACAGACTTAAACCTAAGACATGAAACTATAAGAATTCTAGAAGAATATGTTGGACAAACTCTTACAGGCATCAGCCTAGGGAAAGAATTTATGAAGAAGACCCCAAAGGGAATCACAGAAACAACAAAAATAAGTAAATGGGACCTGATCAAATTAAAAAGCTCTGCACCATCAAGGAAACCATCATGAGAGCAGACAACCTACAGAATGGGAGAAAATATTTGCATGTTACACATCTGATAAGGGGCTGATAACTAGAATCTATACAGAACTCAGGAAAATCAGCAGGAAAAAATCAAACAACCCCATTAAAACGTGGGCAAAAGACATGAACAGAAACTTTCCAAAAGAAGATAGACTAATGGCCAAGAAACATATGAAAAATGCTCAATATCTCTAATCATCAGGGAAAATGCAAATCAAAACCACAATGAGATATCACTTAACTCTAGTGAGAATTACTTTTATCAAAAAGTCCAAAAACAATAAATGTTGGTGTGGATGTGGAGAGATAGGAACACTCATACACTGTTGGTAGGACCGCAAAATAGTACAACCGCTGTGGAAAGTCATATGAAGATAACTCAAAGATCTAAAAGCACTCTTATTACTGAGCATCTACCCAAAGGAAAAAAAGACATTCTAAAAAAAAAACATCTGCACCAGAATGTTTATAGCAGCACAATTCACAACTGCAAGACGTGGAAACAACCGAAGTGCCCATCAACACATGAGTGAATTAATAAAATGTGGTATATGTATATCATGAAGTTCTACTCAACCACAAAAACAATGGTGATCTAGCACCTCTTGTATTATCCAGGATAAAGCTGGAGCCCATTCTACTAAGTGAAGTATCACAAGAATGGAAAAACAAGCATCACATGTATTCATCATCAAATTGGTATTAATTGATCAACACTTATGTGTACATTTAGTAGTAACATTCATTGGGTGTTGGGCAGGTGGAAGGGGGAGGGAATATTCACACCTAATGGGTGCAGTGCACACTCTCTGAGGGATGGACACGCTTGAAGCTCTGACTTGGGCAGGTCAAAGGCAATATATGTAACCGAAACATTTGCACCCTGTAATATACTGAAATAAAAAAAAGTGATTAATTATCCTGAGGAGCTAAATTTTTTAATTTATTGAATTTAAATAATTTAAATTTAAATAGCTTTATGTTACTAGTAGCCATGATAGTTGACAGTGTAAGTTTAGTGGTTAAGATTTCATAGTCTGGAGTTAGAATGATCTGAGTTCAAACCCTGAGACTGTCATTTACTTATTAGCTATATGGCCTTGTGCATGTTTAAAAAACTCTCTAAGCTTCTGTTTCACTGTTTGTAAAATGATAAAAGTTGTACTATTGTAAGGATTAAAAACAAACTACATTGTACAGCATTTGCATATACACATGTTCTATGAATTATTAGTAGCATGTGAACTGTTGATATTCATTTAGTGACACTTCTTTCCACACCTCAGCCAGCCTTAGCAATGGGAACTGGAAACCAGGTAAAATAGCACACTCCCTTCCCAGAGCCCTCAACTTTCAATCCTCTTTATATCTCTATCTCTGGGTTAACTCTGGATCTATCTATCTATCTATCTATCTATCTATCTATCTATCTATCTATCTATCTATCCATCCATCCATCTATCTAATCTATCTACATTTAACTATCATCACTTTATAATTTTTTGACTGTATAGCATCTATTCTTAACTCATCCATATACAATCTTCCTTTCTAAATTTTGACTTTATGGTTGCATCACTCTGCCAATGTTTGCATTCTACTTAATTACAATTCTGCTTTGCTCCCCTTACTGGCATGCATTCTGATACCTTGGCTAAAACTCTTCCCCTTTCTTCCTCCTGGCACCTGCTTCCTATGGAACAAAGCCATTGTAAATTTTTTTATCCAACTGACCACAATGTTTATGGATAGGGCTCTAGAAGGCATTTGGGGAGTTTCATTTAGAGAGAGAAATTGAAATGAAACTTTGTCTAGAGTTCTTCAAAGATGCTTAATATTATGTGAGAAAAAATTGTCACCATTATAGCTAATTTGAAATATACCTACTTCATGTGTTTTATGGAGCTCATATAGTGCTCCCATTATCCAGAAAGATAAAAGAATAAATGATCATTCAGAAGACACCATTAAAAAGGATTTATATATTCATAATGATTTAGCTTTGTTTTCATATTTATTAGCTTGAATGAATATACAAGAGAGAAAAATAAGAGATGAATAGAAAAGTCTTTTTGCTTATTTTCTTCTATTTTGTTTTGTGGGAATGTATAAACCAATATACTGAGTACGAATACAACTGTTGATTTAATTTAACAAACATCAATAACACCATGTCTTCTACAGAATAAGGCATCTTGTATAAATGATGCCCTGAATACCTGGAGTTATAATACAACAGAATGCCTCCATGATACACAGTCATGCACAGATATACACAGATCTACATTAACACACACACACACATTTAAATACACAGTAAAATAGAAGAAACAATATAGAATTGAAAAAGACACAAGCATTTTTGAAAGCAGTAGATTTCCACCCAATTTCCACCATTTTACAAATTTCCATTAGACTTGATATTTTAGTTTTAGTATTTAAGATAAGTTACCTATCACATTTTAAAGAGTGAATATTTAAAAATTATGTCCTCCTTAGTAAAGACACTACAGGGGATGCCTAGCCATGCTGAGACATTGTGGGTGTCAGCATACTTAATAGCTGCTATTGGAAAAAGAAAATGTTTAGCATGTAATGCACACAATCAAAGCTATTGAGTAAAAGGCAACATTTGCTATTCTTCAGGAAAATTGGCAACATAAAAAATACTGTGCATAATTAAAACCAAGGAAATATGTTATTGATTCCATTAAATTTGTTCAAGGACCAAAGGAACAAGTATAGAATTAACTACATTTATAAACACTTTATTTCATAATGAATTCTGCAATTTAAAAAGCCAGCCCTTTAGCCAATTTTCCTTTTGAATCATTGCCATCATTAATCAATTACCCAAATTGTGATCAAAATAACACAATTTTATTTTTTATACATATGTGTATATATACTGAATATATTCCTTGAGTTTC